GAATATTTTGAAATTTGCAAGTAATCTGTTCTTTGTATCTGTACTGTATTACACTTTCTGCACCTACTACGAGATAGAATATGCAACTAGACATTGGAAAGAGAGAGAGAAAGAGAGGAAAATTAAAATATATAGACAGTTCAGTCACAGAAAACAGACCTAGGATGTTTTCTGTATCTAATACGAAAAAATTGTATTATAATATAATAAAAATCAATATTGATTTTGTCACTATGATAATATTACAATAAATTAATTTTCTAAAATATTTATTTTTACAAATGACAATAATAATAAAAGGTGTAGGTGTAGAAGCGTGAAGTGTAAATGAGGCCGCTACAACAGTACAACCGCCTAGCCAATTCATGAAATCGGATACAATTAGTGCGTGTAGTTCCGAGGAGTTGTACTGTGAAATTTCGAGTTTTTTCTCTTTTTTTCTAGACAATTGACATCATGGACGATGAGTGTAACACGACGATCAAGGATACGTTCCAGGAACCACGAAAAAGGTTTTGGCTGGTGAGTACATCCATTTGTTCCTCCGCGAAACGACGCCTCCCGCGACCGGCTGTGAGTGTAACCGACATTCGAATATCAATGTCATTAATGTCAACGGGACAGTATGTTTTCTTCTTCAATTTTTCAATCGTCACGATTAGCATGACACCGGTGTCACATATATACACGTCGCGGTACAGGTGTTTATTACAGTTTTACTCGAATTGTGTCAGACGATAATGAGATTGTTGCTGTCATTGATATTACACTTGACGTCTAAACGCTAAAATACAGAGACCGAGAAAACGGCTGAAGAGCGATGCGATAAGCGTCAGCTCGATGGACATATCCATGGATTCTGACATGAGTAAGAAGAAGAAACGTCGTAGAATCACGGAGGTTGCCAGCAGCATATTTTCTTCTTCCACATCGAGTAAATCAGGAAACACTCTACATAGATCCTTCACGATCCAACCAAACTCCTCGGACCTGTCTATCATTGAGGATGAAGCAGACACGAGAACGTTACGTAAAAAGTAATTGTTTAAGAGTAACTTATGGTGAATTCAGTCACTCTGCACTGGATAGTGTTAGTGCACTTTACATATTAAGGCTGCTTTACCTAAAATATCTGATTGCAATGGCATAACATAATCAACTTCAACAATAAAGTAATATATTTATTGGATTGAAACAAATGTTGGTAGCTTTCATGAATTTCAACATTCAAACTTGGTTAAAATGAAATTTAAATTTAAAAAAAGATTTTTATCTTTAAATTTCTACTTTCAAAAGATTATTATGTTTTTTGAGTTTCTGTAAGTTTGGTAATTTTTACATATAGAAAACTATAAGCTGACAAAATGAAAAATTTTTTCCACTTTGTGGACTTATTACGTGCTTTAAAAAACTTGTAAAAATTTTCGATTTTCTAACATAAAAGCTTAAAGTTTTCCTAACAAAATCTTTTTTTTTTAAATGTTTTTAAGATTTTTTATCACTGAGTTATCGTGGATTAAATAAAAGGAGCATTTTGACTTTTCTCTCATAACGCCATTTAAAAAAATATATTTTTAAAGCAGAAATTTTGCTCTATTAAATGATATAATTATCAAATTTAAAAAGACATGTGTACATGATACAAATGAAGTAGCGCTATAAACTTTTATTCTCATCCAATATAATCTGTTAAACATAATATTTTTATAACATAATATCTTTATTAAGAATTTAATCGTTTTAAATATCTATACACTTTTACATTTAGTGTTATTTCATGTACAGCAGCTTTAAGTATAATCTAGTATAATGCATTTGATCGAATTCGCTATTAAATATTTTGACTTATGAGAAAAATTCTCTTAAAATAAACCATGTCTTAATTTCAGATTGAATAGTGCTACTGAGAGCTGTAACAGTTTGACAATCAGGAGTTGGATGTCAGACATCGCGCAGCCACGCGGCGACGAGCGATTGAACAGCATATTAAGTCGAAGTGAGATCAGACGGCAAGAGGCCATTTATGAGTTATACTGCGGCGAAAATGTATTATTAAATGAGCTCTATATGCTAAGAAACTATTACTATGAACCGATGTCAGCCACTGAAATCTTTACATCCGAAGAGTTATCTACGCTTTTTGGCGATCTCATAAATCTCATTGAAATACACAGTAACTTGAGAGATGAATTGTTCAAATTACGGGATAGATACGGATTCACAAAGACCGTGGGACCGACGCTATTAAATTGGGTTAGTTAATTTTCTTTTATCAATACATTTCACTATGCGTCATCAGTCAATTAATCAACACTGGCTCTATAATATTAGGGGTAGGTCTTAGTTTATTCTAAAGACTCGATCTTCTTCTTGAACATTTAGTTTACTCGTGAGTAAAAAGAAAAATATATACTTGTTATATACAAAAGACATAAAGAAAATTTTGGTGAAAAAAGTTTTAATATGATCTCATATTTTAACAAAATTTTTCAATTTTAAATTTATGAAGATTATAAGAATATTCTTCAAATTTTCTCAAGTTTTATAATAAGTTTTCTTTGGAAATTATGGAATGAGAAAATAGAAGACTTTAGAATTTATTTTATATTCGATTTGTATTTCATGTATATAAATTTTATAAAATCTGAAGTGTTCTAATTTATGTAAAAAATCTAAGAAATTTTATAAAAGTTATAAAAAATTGTGACAAATTTTGAAATTTATTTTTTTAATGTAGAAATTCTGAAAAATTAACAATAATAGCTGTTTCCACTAATATGGACTAAATTTAATTAACTTATTCTTCATTTTTTCTAATTGTTGGAAAAATTAAAGTTAAACTATATTGGTAGAAATGAGCATAAGTTTTTTAACGTGGGGTTAGCCATTTGCACAATTGCTAATTAGAAAGGCTTATGTGTGTGTGAGATTTCTACCAGGGTCGGTCTCCTTTCCTATCCTTAACTTACATGGATTACGGAATGAGAGATCGAACCGAGAATCATCAATTACAAGTCCGTCGTTTTCATACAGAGATATATCTCACTGTGCATCATGTATGACATTAATTTCATTCTGTTCACAGCTGTCGACATTAAAAAAACCATATTTGGAAAGATGCAGAACATTAGTTTGGGCAAGGCATTTATTGGAGGAGAAGAGATTTACCAATAAGAGATTTCAGTCATTTTTAAAGAAGCGCCTAGAATCACCACATTCCGTCGATCTGTGGACCTATTTGGATGTGCCACGTTCAAGGATCGTGAAGTATCCACTGTTAATAAAGGAGATCTTAAAATATACGCCTGCTGCTGACGCAGATCATTTGCCATTGAAAGAGGCGAGTAACATATTCTCCGATTTGCTGAAGAACATCGATTTTATCATGGGCAATGCCGAGTGCAAGCTTGCTCAATCAAAAATAAATGCGAAGATTGAACATGATCCTGAAAAATGCATCGCCAACGCCACAGAGTTGATTACTGAGGGTCAACTTAAGGATACACGTGGAATAGTAAGTTTAATTTCAATTTTAATACAAGAGATAACGTATATATAAATTTTATTTCAGTAGGTTTTTTGACACAAATTATCATTTGTTTGCAGAAATATCATTGCTTTCTTTTCGACACTTGTTTCGTGATAACTCGCCCTACGCGGCGCGTTAACAAAAAGTACAACGCATCATTTCCTATCATACCCAAGGAACAGATGTGTGTGCAAGTGGAAGATAAAAATATCGCAGAAATTTGCTTCAAGATTGGAGAATTTTCTTTCATAATGGAAGACGGGCACAAAAAAAGACACTGGGTTGATTCATTCAACAAGATACACTCTAGAATATGCATTCCAGATAAAGTATTCAATACTGAAGACAAGGAAAACTTGTTGGACAACACAGAGTTAACGACAAAGTCAAATAATTGTGTCGCGAGAACGTCGATATCCAGGAGAACTTCCACAAGCAGTATAAATGACAATCTATTTTCTTTTTCCATAAGGAAGAGTCTACTTAAGCAAAAACGCAACAGTATTGGCTATATATAGTGAAAACTCACATTCGGCAGCTTTTATCTTTTCAATAAGAAGAATTGATGTATTGTACAAAAATGATAAAACGATTCCGATCAATTAGTACAAAAATGATGAATTAATATATACGATAATTACATATTTTTATCTACGTTGCAATCTTTCAAGTGATTAATTTTTTTACTTAAAAATTGTCAATAACTAAAAATTTTTTAAATAATATATTACACATTTCAACATAACAGCGATATAAATTTAGAAAGATTGAATATACTCGTATTTATACGTAAATAACAGGAAGCAGTAACATTACATTTACAATCTGCAATCTTATGGTAATATGAATTAACTTATACTTATAGAAGTTGATTTTAGCTTCAGGATTTAATCCGCATTAATATCGATAATTTTATTAAGGAAGAACTTACACGTGTGTGTATACATATCATGCTAAATAAAGCATGGTTTAAAAATAATGTAATATATATGTACAAATGTTATCATCTATCTCAACATATTCACGGAAAATCAGTCTTTTATATTTATAGTTATATGCGTTCATTTTGTATTAGCATATATTTAAATGGTAGATGGGATATATACACATTTTTTGCAATAAATTAACAAAACGTGAAGTGGCTTTAATTTATATTGATAAATGTCTATTTATAAAAATTTTAATCGATTTATCGAACTTTTAAAAAAATTTGAAAAATTCGATAGATACTCAGCAAATTCAAACATTGTACTTAATAGAGGCGAAGAAATATAAACCATCTTTTTAAAAAACTTGATCTAAATTTTCTTAAAATTGATACTTAACATTTTGAATTCTTTGGAAATTTAATTACATCATTAATTCTGTTTTTTATCGGACGAAGAAATTTTATGGTTTGGTAGGCTTCATCGAATTTCCGTCGGGATAACGTTTTTTAAAGGCCTTAATAAGTTGCGGATCAATTAAATGAACACCATCCACCTGATTGCCCAACGTAATCCAATTGGGCTGTACATTATGCGGCCGACCAAACAATTCAATTTTCCTGGTACCGGGACTCATTCGCTCGATGATGCCATAGATCTCGTCGGGTTTGTGGCTAGTAGCACGAACCTCAGCGACAATCACATCACTGTCCAATCCTCGATTGATACGAGGATTACCCTTCATGCCGACCAGACAATGTTCCTTGCCATGATTCAGCCAATGACCTGTTCTACCAGTCCGTATTATCCTTTGCAACTGATTGGTCTTCACCCAAATGATTTCGTCAACCCTCTCGTAACCCCATAGCTGCAGACACTCTCTTCCCAGCTCCATAGCTCTGCCAGTCACCCAAAGAAATAAGAGTCCTTCATCCTGAAGTGCTGGGATTCCCAATTGTCTCATCTCATCGTCTGACATAGTGCCATAAGGTAATTCCATATGAATATCCCATGGTGGATCGGCCATAATCACAGCAAACTTGCCAAGAACAGTCATGTCGAGGTAACGTAAATCGCACTGGATCCATTGTGGTGGATATAGAGTCAACTCGCTACCTACGTTACTACTGCTACTGCTACCATTCTTGCTATCTAGATTCAACGTCTTGTTAGAAGTGGTATTGCTCGGACTATCGGAGTCATTGATTTCTTTTAGTTGTGCTGTAGGACCATCTACCTCATAATGAACATATCTGTAAAAATTAAAAAAATTGACATTTTTAACTCTAAATTTTTTTTGGCTTAAGATACAATTTCACTGCATGAAACTGCACCTTTAAAAGTAGAGAAAGCTGAATATGTATGATTTATCTAGAATATCTTTTATGGATTAACTTAGTTAAATTCGAATTATAATTAACTATCAAGAAACAAATTTAACTATATATTGATAAATGGCAGTATTTTTCACGTCCTTACTTGCATGTGTCCATGTGGAAGCAGGTATTGAGAAAACTACAGTCTCCCAAAGATTCATCTGTGTGACTCTGTATGATCTTTTTAAAATGCAGCTTTTTACATTTTTCTGCGAATCCCGGACCACCATTCAATTTCATACAATCTACTTTTGTACCATGTGGACAGAATTCCATGACTTGAGCTCCTCCTTGAGAGCGAAATCGTTCTGCCAGTGATTTTTCTTTAGAAGTCTGCTTTGACAGCAGATCCAGGATCTGTTCACCGACCTTCTTACTCTCCTTTTCTCTAATCGTCGGCATCGAAATTAGAGACATGATATCCTCGGTATTTTTCTTGTCAACTTTCACTTGTTTCTCTGGAGGCACATGGTCATTTAATTCAGACATGGACATTTCTATGCTTTCGGCATTCTCTGTGTCATCAGACTGGGACTGACACGACGATTGGGATTCTGTTACCGACAATACTGTATATCCAAATACTCCATTTTCTGTAACTTCTTTGATCCTAAAAACGTGCATAAAGTACTTCTTATATTAAATGTATCATGCACTAACAAAATGGTATCAGGATGTTATACGAGTCTCACTATACTAACTTAACTATATCTTGTGCAGCCAGCTTCTCCAAAATCTTGTGGATGTCCGAAGAAGATACATCAGCATTAAGATTTTTACGTAGCTGATCTATTAAGTCTGCGGATGTTATTGGTAGATTAGGTAAGGACTCGTGTAAGATACAAAGTACGTCTCTTTCATATTCGCTATGATCCGAACGTGAAGATGCATTAGAATCTGTAACAGGGACATTAAAGTTGAACAAATTCTTTCTTATCGCACATAACAAATGTTAACGGTAATATAATCGTAACATTATAGACTTATTACCAGGACACGCCGACTCTGCTGTCAGGGTGGATGAAGCCGACGTAGAAGTGAGGGTATACAATTCATGTCTCTCACGTTTCCTCTTCTGTAGTTTCTCACGATAACTGTTTCTCTTTATCTTAATCGCTTGTATCTCTTCAAAAGCGTCCGACATGGCTCGACAAGATTGTGCGTGAAAATATAATTTTTGACATACGAAAAAAGCGGCTGCGGATTAGATGGGGCATTTAAGGCCGCGGTTCGATTCACGTTCACAACGCTTAAAAATCATTTCATCCTTGTTGTTTGTCGAAATGTTAAACGAAGACAAACAATGCTCATGAGCGTTGTCAGCATGACTTGGACCACGGCCTAGGTAATAATCGAGTTGAGCTACCTTATGTCCACTACTGATAAAATTAGGCTCATTCGATACGTTTTTGCATGACCGAATCTGATAGAAAAAAACTTTCGCTCTGGCCCGCGAATCGAGATATTAATCGTTAAAGTTGACGACTATAGGTTAGTAAATCTATCATATCGAGCAAAAAGCAGCGACAAAAGCGTCGCGAGCTCGAGCATGCTCTATACACACAACATGCGCATGCGTTGTCATGATTGAAATACGCACGAAATGATATTTCAATATGTTTCCTTGAAAAAATAAGATAATATTTTTAAATAATACTTTTATGCCCGTATTCATAGCCTTCCTTTACAATTAGTATGACATATACACATAAATATACGAATAAATATATAGTCAAAAGCTTTGATTATAGAGACCTAGACTGCTAACAGGTATGCTGCATTGTGTTATATTTTTCGTAACATTTTTCAAATGCCATTACATATCTGCATAAAATGCTATTTGTAGGTTTTCATCATATATAGCAAATTTTGAATAATAATTTTCATCGCTGTCCCGCATGGTTTTTTTAAAACTGGCTGAACTTTTGCTAGCAATATTCTCATTTGCATTTTCTCAAATTCCTCATTTAATTTGATTGCAGATGTACTTTAAAAAAAAAAAAAAATAAAACAATTTGGTGTTGATATCATTGCGTTTAGAATAATTATTTAATAATTTTAAAAATTGATTTAATATAAATGTTTTAGATTCAAAAATATTTAATACAAATGTATAAATTGTATAATTCTAATAACAATAGATGTATTTTATTAAGAGTGTGAGCGTGACAGCAGACAACGCACTGGTCTATCTATCATGCCAGAGGTCGCCTGCACTAAAAAGTAATTATACAAAAAAGTAATTTTACAAAAAAAAAAAGAAAGATGTACGAGCATATGTATGGACATATTTCATATATAAATATATTTATGATTATTTATACATCTTTATGTTTGTAGATACATATTTATATTCATACATGAACATTTTGTTATCTGGATTAATATCGTATATAAGTTTTGTAACCTTGAACATCAATATTTCTTAAAAAGCCACAATGTAATATTTCATACGCCCATTAGAATTATATTTCATCTAAGCCTCATTCCGTTGCACGTATAATGCGCATGATGTATCAGATTATTCTTGTTTTGCACTCTGCTAAACAAGGATAAAATGATACATTATGCGTATTATGCAACCACCGACGAGATACTATTAAAGACCGTCAACCCTGGGCAAATTTTCGGCGGTATAAAAAGGGCCCCAAGAGCCCGGAGGTAATTAAAGAACGCTGACATTATCGACAATTGATATAAATTTGCTATTATTAACAAGAAATATTTGGCTCATACATGATAAAATTCATAATTTTTTATTACGTAAATGTTCCATAAATAAATATGTATACTCTTGTAAAGCTGTAATATCTTATATATTGCAGAAAAATTACAATTTTTTTCTCTGCAGTTATCATTTGTGTTGATAAAACTTTCACAATAGTACTGAAATCACAATTTTAAAGAAAAATCGAGTATTATTGAGTTCTAAATGCATAAATACATCTACTAAACTAATAAATCATAAAATTAGTACAATATTATCACAGTTTTTAACTCTTAATTACTAATTCACAAGGACGCGAACTCCCGTAAGGATATCGGTCTTTAATAGTATCTCGTCGATGCCTACGAATATATGGATGTAAAGTTGAGAACAAATATATTCACACGTGTGTCGTAAAGTTTATAAAATATAAAATATAACTTGAAGCTGTCCAATAATATATCCGGCAACATAAAATTTTAGCCGGATATCTTATTAGATACTAATGATATCCGATTATCCGATCGGATAATAAAAAGTATCAAATAACATTGAATATTCGATACATCCCTATTTTATATTCTTCCTAAGGAAGAAGAGTGCTCGGAAATGTTCGCGGATTGTTCGGATATTGTCGGAAACGCTCGGAATGATGATTGTTTTCATCGTTTTTCATTATCCGTCGTTACGCAGTTGAATTCCTCTAGGAATTTTTTCAATAACGTAATTTAGGAAGCTTCAATACTGAAGAAATTGATATTTTGATAAAAAAATTTATGATATTGTACATGCGAGTGTTGAAGAAGTAAATATTAACTTGTGAAGAGAATTATAACCTAAAAATTCAACGTACGTATATAATAAGAATATAATAATATAACATAATTATACTTTTGATTAAAAATTATTCATTTTTATATATATTATTTATATCCATTTGATGTTTTATTTATTCAATTATTTTTAAATGTATATTTAGTTTTCGTTATTTTATTCTAATGAAAGATACATGATACGTAGCAAAACTGAGCAAGTAAAAATTGATTTAATAAAGGATGACAATTTATATAATATAATCTTTTTTGATATTATGTAAAAATAAAATTCATCTTTATATACTTATTATTTAATATGTAATTATTTTTAGATCATTTGCAATATTTTTTTTACTTTGATGAAAAGATTTACGATATTGCACGAAGAAGTGGGAAACCTTTTGAAAAAGGATTACAACTTAAGCTTAAGGTACATAATATAACTTTGTCTTTGATGTAAAAATAATTTATTTTTATATATTGTACTTCATGATACAATACACAATTTTCAGGTATTTGTGTAGTTTTATTCTAAATAACGAATCTCAACATGGTTTGTGAAAAATGTGAAAAGAAATTGGGCAAAGTTATTACCCCGGATCCCTGGAAAACAGGTGCAAGGAACACAACGGAGAGCGGAGGACGTAAAGTTGGAGAGAACAAAGCTCTTTCTGCAGGAAAGGCACGATTCAATCCATACACCACGAAATTTGAGATCTGTAGAATATGTAGGCAGAAAGTCCATCAGGTGGGATCCCATTATTGTCAGTCGTGTGCATATAAGAAAGCTATATGCTCTATGTGTGGTAAAAAACTCATGAGTACAAAGAATTATAAACAGTCTGCTACATAATAATTGTTTTTATATTTAAAGAATTAATTTTAATGTAAAGTTTAATATTTAAATTTATATTCACATATCTGTTATCCATATAAAAATTACATATTTTCTGAATTCTTATAATATGTTGCAGTATTCAGACGACTGCGAATTGTACAATAGTATCCTTCACTCTTATCCAAAAATTTAATCTCCGTTAGTGACATGATGATTTTATCCGTTCACTTGTGTGTTCCTTTCTATATACAATATCTGACACTATTCATCTCACTATTCTAATCCTCAGTTTTAAATTTACTTCTGTTTTCTTCTTTTTGTTTACCCTGAGTATTGACATTCCACTAAATTAACAAAGGATATTCTCTTTATATAATTGTATTTATATTATTAAATAAATGTATTTAATTTTTTACACGATAATTTATATATGATATAAATAATTACTAAAAATAAAAGAAAAAAAATAATTAAGGACAGTGTGCGCATAAAAAATTAATGCGTATATATATTTAATAAAATATTTACATATATACATACCATGTTTTTTAATAATTTATCTCATGAGACCTGTACAAGCGCACATGATACAAATTGTTAATACATATATTATATAAAACAGTAATATTTAAGTGTGATATTGACAATATAATTGCAGCTGCAAACCTATTCTGCCAATTTCTTTTTTATCAATGAAACTGTATAAAATTAGAGATCAGCCTATTCTGTCTACTCTTAACGATAGTATTGTTGTACAGATTTTATAAAAAAAACTGCGCAACGATATGTAAAAATTACAGAACAAGGCCCCGGGATTTGTTAAACAAATTCCAGTTAAACTGGCATTTGAATTTTGAGTGGCAAAAATATATCTTATGAGTTCCCAATTTATATTCTAGATGATCTTATGTGTTTTCTTTACCAACAAAGTTTAAATTAATTTAGATATCGCGTTATGTTCACGATGCAAATGAATAAAGTGTGCTCGTAATCACCGACGAGATACTATTACAAACCGACATCCTTATGGAAGTTTGCATCCTTGTTAAGATTGAAGTAACTAAAAGTAAAAAACTGATATTATTGTACTAATTTTTGTGATTTATTACTTTTGTAGATGTGTTAATCGGTGTATATGCATTTAAAAATCAATAATACTCAATTTTTCTTTAAAATCGTGATTTTAATGTCCTCAAAATTTGATTATCAATAGAGATGATAACTGCAGAGAAAAAAATTGTAATTTTTCGGCAATATATTATAGCTTTACAAGTATCCATATTTTTTTATGGAGCATTTATGTAATAAAAAATCATGAATTTGATAATGTATTAACTAATTTATATTAATAATAGCAAATTAATATCAATTGTCGATAATGTCAGCGTTCTTCAATTACCTCCGGGCCCTTGGGGTCCTTTTTATACCAAAAATTTGTCCAGGATTGACAATTTTTAATATCTCGTCAGATACTATGATTATGTCATCACTCTATAAAACGGTAATAATCATTTGACTAAAATCGTTTTTTTTTTGTTATTGAAAATTACAATTGAAAAAAAGGTGCTTACTTAGCTCTTCTCTATTTATTAGATTTGATTAGATTATGAGGTCTATATATTTTTAACGTGATGCGGAGTATTTGAAAAGTGCGATATAATCGTAATGAACGAAAACAATTTTTATCTCTTCACACAAGCATCTATCACATAAAAAAATATATTTTTACAATATCGGTATGTCTAAAAATATACACTTTTATTCATTAAAACTTTATACATTTGTTACTAACAAATTATAGACAATAGCGTATGTTACTAACATGTTAGTCTTGAAATAAATTATATTACACAATTATATTTAAAGTACACAGAAAGACTCGATGACTAACTTGCATCAGTTAACAATAACATTTCTAATATGATAATACTAAATTCGCACACAGTAAAACATTTGTATCTTGATCAATGTCAATTGCGCGTTGTAGTAAATCTAGTATATTTTAGAATTTTTGTTGTCTTTTCGGAGAACGTCGAATAACAAAAAAAAATGCGATATCAAACAAATATTCTGATTACATAACAAAAAAAACGCTCTTTTTTACAAACTATTGAAATTAAGATTTTCAAAGTGTTCAATATTTGTTTGAACATCGACGTTTGAAGCGAATAATATAATTATGCGAAATATTTTATTAATTAGCATTTACTTTGTATCTCACAAGGACGATATTAACACAATACTGAATAATATTAGACGTGAATAATATTAGACGTAAAATTATGAGTTACGCAAATGTTAGTACATTAATAAACAAGTCATTACAAAGTCCCAGATTTACATTATTTCGCTTACATGCTACGCGATCTATTATTACACGGTCTATTATTTGATTACAAACGTCTTGTCTATTTATTTGTATCTCATAATAAACGTATAGGACGACATATAAAATACTTTTATTTAAGTAAAATAAAATATTTATCAGACTGCAAACATTAAGATAAAAATAAAATTGGTGATTTTTAATCTTCTCTTCTGGAATAATCGTGAAATATTTTTAAGAATTGAAAGAATACAAGTGCGAAAATACTGCGGTTTCGCTATACATTTGGCATTAAATGTGACTATCTCATTTTGAATCACTTAATATATGCACAATATAAAAGTGATATTCAACTCAGAAAAATGGAATAATCACATTTAGCATTAATGTACGACGAAGTATAATTAAAAAATAAAAAAAGAAAAGGCTATTAAGTATACGTAAAATACATACAAGATTATTGCTAATTTTTAGATAAATTAGAATTACGTATCTTCTCATTATATGTGTCTCATTATATTCTGTAAGCAAATTGTAATGATATTAAAAATTATTTTGATTAAGAAGAATAAAAGTTAATGAAAAATGCATGATCTTTTATAAAATGCGCTAAGTTTGCTGCTAACTGTCACATTTAAAACACTGGCCTTACATTTATGTACGACACAATTATTAGGGAAAAAGTATGCACATTTATCGCGTTTATCGCTATTTTTTATTCGTATGATAATAAATCGGACATAAACAGTAAATCTGTAAATCTTACATTTGCAGTTCAATTCTACCTCAAGTAATTTCCTCTAATTACATAATTATTCTTTATGGCACGTAGTTTCTCAGCACTTTACTGATTATCTCGTATGATACATTTCGTATTTATTATTGGCATAATGGATGTCTTTTCAATTAATCCTTTGCTAAAATCAATTTCAAAACATCGGGATTCACGCTAAAGTGCATGAGTTTCCAAGTGATCTGTATAAATATGACATAAATATATATGGAGCAACCTTATTATGTTATTTAAATTTCGGCGCAGCGATATTTAAATCGATAATACATAAAAAATATATCGATTTTTTTACTCTAAGATACTAAATAAATTACATATAGAAAATTAAAAAACAAATTAAACGAAAAACGTTAAGAACCAGAGAAACAACATATCAAGTTTCCCTCTTCTAAAAAAATTGTGACTATAAGTTTTAATATCTTACATATATATTCGCATTTCAGATACAAAGATATTTCTCCAACTGAAGGATAAAACTTCTCAGTAAAATCATTAAAGGAATTTTTCTAGATGTACAGTGTATGTATTTTATAAGTTATGTGAAGTACGTATCACTTAAAGAAATGCATCAACACATACGTGACATAAAGTTAATCATATTTTCTCCTTTTAGACTTATAGATACGTTCTCGCTTTTTATCTGGATCATTCATTGAGGTCAAACTGAATTGAAGACTGGAAATGAAAAGGGGGCCAAATGTAAAAAAAAAAGAGTTAGAAAAATTGATTTAAAAAATTGATATTATATATAAAAATATTCATTTTAAGATTATTGTTACGACACTTAGTCTTGTTTCTATTCGAAATCTGCTCGAATCAGTTATCTTAGAAAGGACGTTATCTCAAAGTTCTTAGTATAACATTCATACAATCTTGGTTTAACGTTAATACGATCGCTTTTTTATTAATCGCTACAATCGTTACTCGTCTTCACAAAGAAACTTCGCACGAAGAAACCTCATTTCCAACATTTATAAAATAAAATATCTCTCCTAAACTGAATAATACACAATTACCGATTACTGTTCGCGTCTTTAAGGAAGTCGCGAACATTTTAATTCGTATCATCCCTAGATGAGAACATGATGTTCGTCACGGGCTGTGGTTGGCCAGAACCAGGGTTCCAGCGATTCTGCTCCTTGTCAGATCTGAAGATCCAGTGTTCGAACTTCTTGTTCTCCGACTGCTTGATTTCCGATCCTGGATGCACGTCCAAGATCTGGGCTCCTTTGCCCGCTGCGGACTTATACTCGGATACGTAGACAATCTGCTTGTCCGTTCGGTCCTCCTTCGGACTCTTCGTGATATCTGATCGTCTCGGCGGCACAGGTGGTTTCTTGCCAGATGTAGGCTTACCGTTTGACGTCACCTTTATCTCGTGTCGCGCTGGTTTCCGCGATTCGCCATTAGTTCCTGTTGTTATTTCTTCGTTCTCATTGTTAGTCTCGCGAACACCTTCCCTATTGGATGACACCTTGATCTCTGTGACATAGGTCATCTTTTGGATAGCGTTTGGCGATACAGGCGTATTAGGCAAAGATGAACGACTTTCCGTGTCCTGTGGATTGCTGTAGTCCATTGACTCTCGGACCAAACCGCTATCCTCACTATTCTCGCCGCTTGACACGCTAACGCTACTGATATTATGACGATCTTCCTTAGGCGAGGACAAGCTCTTGTTATTTGCTGTTATGTTCGTGCCGAATTCGTATTCATCCTCTTCCTCTTCGTCATCACGGTTGGAGACATTAACAATACGTCTGGCAAAGTGCGTATCAGTAAACGCAGTGTCGGTCGGCGATTTTGTTTTAATCGGCGAGTACCTGTCGCGTTGCTGGCTATCCGTATTCTGCTGTTCGAACTTTGTCCGATGTGCGTGGAACGTAGAAAAGGTACCGCCATTCTTACCTTCTGCGTTCTCATCCTTGTCCTGAGATTTGTCGAGTCTGACCGATGATTCCGACTTGGACGCGTGTACTCGTAGATGAATCGGTGTAGATGTCCGTTCTGTTTCTCTCTCCGTACTTTCTTTTGAGCCTGTCTTGTCATCCAAGAACGATCGCACTATCACGCGATGCTGTCTATCAGCGTACTTCTCACGTTTGCAGTCAGCGCTGTGTTGACTGCACCTATCCTCACAACCGCGACACCCCGTATCTACAGTCACTTTTAAGATAGGTTCTTCTACAACTTCTTGTCTACCGATATAAAGTGAAGCGTCGTTAATGGGTGCTGTTTCTTCCTTCCACTCGTCCAGCTGCGTCAGGTTGACTTTTGTTGTCGGCTCTGGGGAAGCCGCGTGCAACTCGAAATAGCGCAAGGCGCGACTGAAATCCTCCGACTTCTCCGACATAGAATTATTATCCGGTTCGTTTCCGGTTTCATGCTTGTTCTCCTCGGAGGATCGTTTCTCATTAGCCAACTGGAAATCGAGTTCCACTTCTCTTGGGGTCGGACTCTTCACCACCTGGCCATCATTCACGATTCTGGCCAGAGAATTATCCTCGTCTGGATTGAACATCCGTTCAGTGCGAATAAACTCCTCGGTCAATTGTTTGCTCAATGGCAGGTTGTATAACTCGATGCTGGTGATCTCTTGATCTGAATCATTGTTGGACTTCTTCTGCTCAGACATGTCGTCCATCGTCGCCGTTACAGTGGCATCCTCTTTCAGTTTGATTTCCACAGCAGATTTGGAGCGCTCTAAAGTGCCGTTGCTTTTCTTTCTCGTATGTACTTTTTCATGCGTTTTCTCTTCCGTTTCGGTGGCAGCTTCGCCCCAAAATACATCCTCCAAAGTACCCCACTCATTCGACTTCTTTAGCTTCCGTCGATCAAACGTGTCAATCTGATCAAGCTTCGTAAGATCCTCAGTGGACTCATTGATGTCTTCGGGCGGCAGCGGTGCTTTGCGCTTCTTCGTCCCGGTGTCGGCGCTCATGTCAAGGCTCTGTGCCCTCTCCAGGGTCGTCGCGGTCTTGTTCTCGTATTTGGACAGGTCGCCCAGACTGGCTGCTTTCCTGTACATGTCATCCTCATCCTCATCGTCATCTGCCTCTGGCACAGGCGTGCGATGAATTGTGATATCCGCCGAATTTAATTCAATTGTAAAGCTGTTTTGCATTTCGTTATCAGTGTCTGACTCGGAATTCCGTCTGTTTACCGATTGATTTTCCAGACGGTGTCTTCGGGCATCCGCGGCGGCGTTCGTATTTTCACGCGCTTTGTTTACGTAATCACACAATGACTCCGAGTAATCAGCGATACTGTCGATGGTATCTATGGCGTCTTTCTTTGCGGATAGCATCGCGATTTCGTTGGTACTCTTCGGCGGCGCCGGTGCTTTCCGCTTATTCTTCTGAGGACTCTTGGCACTGTCGGAATCGGACGAGCTGATCTTTTGCATATTCAAGGGCTCAGAACTGCTCTTTCGGTTTCTACGAGCTGCCATAGCAGCATTGTGCACCTCCGTCGGTACCTCCGACGGTATGTTAAGTCCTCCGTCAGCGTTCTTGCTACCTTTGTCCGGTACGTCGACGCTGTGAACGTCGTCAGTAATCTTTACTGAGACACCGTCTGCGCGTTGCTGAAGACGTTCATTGCAGAGTTTGTTCTCATCAGTATCACTCAAAGTCCCGGATTGCCTATTCGTCAGCAGCTTCTCCGCGTCCATCTTGCGCGAGTGCCTTCTCTCCAGGTTTGTATTGTGCTCATTCTGATTCTCAATACGATGCACGGTGCCATCCAATGCTGGTAGCACCTTGATGCCAAACTTATGATGGTGATTGTTCTTCGCCTCGTCGTGACGCCTCTCGAGGCTCTGCCCGCTGCCCGGTGTCGATTTCGAAGACTTTAGAGTCGAGTTCATCGTTGAGTAATTGGAACCCATGGACTCGTTCGGATCGGCTATGAAGAGTCGTTTCGCAACGTTTTTATGACCCCCCCGCGACAGCTCCGGGATTGACTGGCTCCTGTAGAGAGGATGGCAGATCCTCGTTGGAGTCGGACCCACGCTCTTCTTCAGCAACGTCGTCGGCTTAGAACCGCTACCACCGCTCTCCACTTCCAACTCTACGTCGTACGGTGAGGCGTAGCTCAAGATCGTCAACGCATCCTCGTATACCATGTTGCGGAAGCTGATTTTCACGCTGGTGATACGGTCGCCTGCAATCAAACAAAGAAACAGTGACAGGACCATTTTTACACTATAACAATGCGACGCAAAATCGCATTGATTATAAGAAAGATTTTGCCTCTTATTTTGTAGCGCGAAAAGGAAAGTCATCTTTACGATAAAGAATCTTAACTATTTTATTGAATATTGTGAAACTACTATTTGCGATAAGTATCATGCAGGCATTTTGGTTCACGCATTCTTGATCAAAGAGATAATGACTGAAAGTACATTAAATTATCAGAAGAGATCGAAATCTCAAGAATTTTAACCTTGTGATATCGTACGTCGACAGAAAATTATATCTTCGCAATTTGATGATGCCCAAAGTAATCGTCAAATAAAGACGTTTTCCGTTGTAAATTACGCTTTTAAGCAGAGTTCGAAAATTTGTTAAGCCGTTACCTTTGCCAAATTGGGCCATTTGGTGTTATAATATGGCCCGATGAGCGCACTCTACTTACGCTAGCAAGTGTACTTTAACGAGGGTTTGATATTCCATTTTAATCGGTTCACGCATTATCAAATGCTCAAACATGGCGGTAATAGTTTCACTGCAAAATGTAGGTATGTAGGTGATTTTCGATTCGCATACGGCTCTCGTCCGAGAGAGACACGTCCATTCGCTAATTAAGATATTGAATTATAATTCGTTCATAATCATGGCGAGGCGATCCATTTTTCTCAACAGAAAATTGTGTTATATTTCAATCTCGATGAAACCAAGAGAAAATTCCCTACGTCGTCATCACGTGCAATGATAACGAGATTAAACGTGAAAATCTAATCGCAAGCAATCAAAGCGAAGATAGATATGTCAATACATAATACACATATATATATATATATATAAATATAAAATTATTAGAATTTTTCTTTAGGCTCTCTGGT